AAATCCGAGCCTTCCGCCCCTAGAGGGCGCCAGGAGGCCCAAACAGGCCCCCAAGAGGCCCCAAGAGGCCGCCAAGAATCCCCGAAGAGGCCCCAGGAGGCTCCCAAGGAGCCCAAACGAGGCCCCTACAGAGGCCCCAACAGCTTCCAAAATGGCCCCGAAGAGGCCTCGAGCCCACCTCCGAGCTTCCTCGCCAGGACGGCCCAAGGCGCGCTCAAGACGGCCCAAGACGATTCCAAGACGGTCCCAGGAGGGTGCGCCCAGGACGGCCCAAGGACGCGCCCGTTCGGGGCCTCAAGACGGGCCAAGACGGCAAGAGAGTCCCAGCTGGCAAAAATCGTTAATTTTCCATTGTTTACTGTTACACCCTTTGCGTTTCCCGCCGTTTCGGCGGTCCGATGCACCAAGAGGCCCCAGAAAGTCCCAGGAGGGTCCGAGGAACCGCCCAGGAAGGCCCCAAGACGGGCCAAGACGGACCCAGCACACCCCAAGGCGCGCTGCGACGGCTCAAGACGGCTCCAAGACAGCCCCAAGAGGGTGCCAACACGGCCCCTGCTGGGCCCAGGACGGCCCAAGGAGGCGCACAGGAGGGGCCCAAGACGATTCCAAGGCGGCCCCCTCACGGTCCCAGACGGCTCCAAGACAGCCCCACGAGGACCTCGATGGGCCCAGGACGGCCTACGGACGCGCCCATGAGGGGCCCACTACGAACCAAGACGGCCCCATCACGGCAAACGGCGCCCTCAAGACGGGCATGGACGGCTCCAAGACGGCCCTTTGAGGGAGCCAACGCGGCCCCACACCCTTCGGGCGCACACTTGGGGGGGCTGGGAGCTTGCGACAAGTCTCCCACATTCATTGTCCTGCCCCATTCTGTTCGCCTGGAGGTCTCCTCCAACCCTGTGGGCGAACAGAAGGAAACCCAGCGGGCCGCCAACCCTGGGGCCCGTGGGCCCCGCGCCGCTTGGGCAGAAGACGAACGCCGGGTCTGACAGGCCAGCTACCGCACCCCTTTGCCCGATATGCTGTGCCATTCTGTTCCCCCAGGGGCCTTGGCAAACCCTTCGGGCCAAGCAGACCGGACCCCTGGGACAGCAGCCAATTGATATGACCCAGGGACCTCTCCGCTTTCTTCGGACGAGCACCTTCTGTTCGCCCGAAGGCCTCCACAGACCCTCT